GAATTCAGTTTCCTTCATTAACAAGATTTTTTATTTATTCACATTAATATTCATAATATAATTTAAATAATTGTACATACATACATAAACATACATAAGAAAATAATAAGAAAGATATGATTACTTAAAATAATTTCTTTAAATCACTTCGTGGATTTAGATAATGTTAGATCGCAACTAATATTTGACACAAGATAATAGATATACTCAGACATATATATGAATATTATATATATTAATTACTCACAGTTATGTAGGTATATGATTTTATAATAATGATGTACGCTGGTGGTGTTAAACGGTGTTGTTGAAACAAAAATACGGAATGCAGATCGTATCCGACGAGAGATATTACGACAATGGTAATAAAAGTATATATATATATCATGTGATGGCGGCGACTACGACAGCGAAAAATATAGATGAAGTTTCATCAACATGACGATGTGGGTGCGGTCACGGCGACAAAAATCACGTAAATATGCGGCGCGGGTAATATAAGGGATACGAGAATAWTTACGACGGCAAACTGCAGCGTGGCGGAAAAACGTACTTCGACACGTGTCTAGTCGGCCGACTGTTTATATCCGACCAATAGCCGTCGTATAGAAGCCGATTGGAGATCGAGAGCTGCAGTAGCCAAGTACTTACACAGTTAAAGCGTATCGGGAAGGTGGTTTTTGAGCCGATAAGTTGGGCCTTTTACTGATGTTCGATGGAGTGCGTCCGCGGTATATGTGTAAGGGGCATGGCGCACTACTTAGTTTCTTTTGTATTTTTAACGATATTATATTTCTATCCGGTTSGAAAGCGACATTAAAATGGATAATATATAGTCTAATATCTTTTATTCATCGTTTTGGTCAGTTAACGCATATTAATTCATGGCAATGAATTAGTCGACCAACCTCCCAAAACGCATTGACAGTACGCGCGCTCTATCGTTAAATTTTAGCGTAAAACGATCGTAGTGCTGTGAAATTATGCGCTGTTGGCGGTAGTGTTCTGTTCATAACAACTGGTATTTATTTTCATATAAAACTAAAAATGTTTTCATTTTTAATTTCTTGTAGGTATTTTCCTCAAGTGTTATTAAGTTAATGTATTTAATTAAAACCGTAATATTCACATTTTTATTATTTAGTACAACATACAAAAATATTCTTTTTTTTACAATGTTTTATTCAATCTGTTTCAAAAAATAACAATAAGAACAACTGAGGTAATAGATAGTAATAAAAACAAAAATAAAAATAAAACAAATAGATAAATATAACAGAGCGTAGAAGCCTCCCAGTGAAAGTACTACAATAAACAATAGTCTTTAAACTGAAAAGCTTTTGTGAAAGGAGGGTCTWAAAATATTTGAAGTTAAAACTTGAAAAAAATTATCGATCATAATAAAAGTTTGATATGATAGTAACATCGATACTTTATTAACAATAAAATTACTGATAATACAATACATTAATTATTATAGGAAATAAAAAACTAATCAATCGTCTTAAATCATTGATAATTATCCATATTTCGTTAAAAGATTTGCTTTGTACCAATGTATTTCTTTTATATTTATGCCTTATGAATATACAATATGTACACATAAATATCGTTAAATTATTTTCTTTTTTCTCCTATCAGTAAATCGGGTTTGGAAATTTGGTCTCTTTTTGACTTTTGCAAATATGTGTGAGTGAGTGCGTGTCACACCCTCGAGTGTAGCAGCACGTTAATATATTATAGATAGCAAACGATACCRAGAAAATGCTCTAGCTCTGTCACATCGCATCTCACATCGCCGACGATAAGTTCTGGGTTAAACTCTCTGACCGTTTAAGTGATACTTGAATTTTGCAGCTGTTATATGTATGTAGAAGTAGACACACGTCTGCCTAAATTTTAGCAGCTAGTAAAGTACTTATTGCTACATGTGTAATAAAAAACGAAAGACATTGAAATGCGTCCTARATATAATACGATATAATAGTATATTTTGTCACAAATTGTATATTTTAAGGTCTTAAAGATAATGATGTAATATGATAAGATAAATAAACGAATTTTTTTTTAACTTGTTTATCATAAAATATCTGTATTTCTATTAATATTTAAATTGTAYATATTTCTCTACATCCACATAATATTATGAATATATCATAGTATTCTATTATATACGTGTCTTTAATAAACTGGTCAATTCAAACGTAAAAAAATAATTAATAGTTTGAATCCATCTGCACAAGTACAAAAAATGTTACAAATTTAATTATTTTACTCTTCAATGAGAGAGCGCAACCCGGCGCGTTGCAGCGACCAAAACTCGTTGTAGTCCGCGCATTCACACCACGCTTTTCGAATGTCCCCATCACCGCTAGACGGCATGGCGGTACCGTTGAATATACGTTCAGGTACCTCATGGTGGGAGGATTTAGATCTCGGACGGTGGAGCACGTCCATTAGATACGCGAGCAAGTGGCCCTTTCACATTAAACAGAATATAATATATAAAACGACAGAAATTGTAATACTATTAATAAAATATTTTATCATCTAAGGATTATATCAATATAAAAATTTAAAATTCATTATGCTCAAATCTAAAAGTGTGAATAATTAAAACAAAAGTTGATATATCTATATTTTTAATTCCAAAATATTTTCGGTTACCTGCACGTTGTAAAAATACAAATTTCAGATTACAGTAGGTAGTTACCTGTAATAGTTATATAAAAATACAATATTGTTATAACTTATTTTACATTGTTAATATCACATAAGATATAACCACGGTTATCTACTCAGGTTGGAGCTTGCGGATATGCTGCACGTGTAGCTGCCGTGTCGAAGTGGCGACCAGAGGTACTAACAGCGCTAGATGTTACTGGCCCGACATTAACACGTCTCATATAGGATATTAAATGGTTTTTTGTTTTTATCTTCTAAATAACATAATTTAGCAATAATTAGTTCATAACTAAATTTGTTGGCCACATTGTTTTCTATCGGTTGATCAAATTATATTATTTTTATCACCAATATACAACAATTTATCGGCGTTGTGATGTGATCGTGACTACCGACYCGTGAGCCTGTTTGACCGCCGCGTTAATGTATTGTCTGATGTTTACATTGCCAATAAATAATTAACCTTGATTATAATATTTACTATTATAATATATTTTGTATTAT